CACCACCAGCACCACCAGCACCACCAGCACCATCAGCACCACCAGCATCACCAGCACCAGCACCAGCACCGGCAGCGGCAGCACTACCACCAGGAGAAGAAGAAGAAGAACAAGGACAAGTAATAGTCTCGAGATAGTACTAGTACTGGTATGGTCTGTGAACCCTCTCACCTGGTGAAATCTGATCATCGAGAGCCCAAGATCTTGATATGCTCGTGTCAGCACAGGTGGCGGAACACCGAAAGTGCCCATGTTGTTTGCGCGACCTTAGACTCAGCACTGCCGGCTTTGCCTTCCCTCAAAGCCCAGGAGCTGAGAATGCATGGACTCAGGAGCAGGCAAATCGCAATCTGAATCCACTGATAGATTATCTCCGGGCTGCCTCGGACATCCAAGGCATGGGACCTTCTTATCTCCAACTCACTGCCCAGTGGCGGCTCCACCAAGGACGAGCTGCCATACCCGTCAAGCAGAAACTGGCGGGTGTCGTCATCGATCCCATCGAAATCGATCTAAGTTTCAGCCAACAAAACCAAAGTGCAGGCAGGATCATGCACGGCATCCCTGCACAAGATCTTCTGTCAATGCTTACTGTTGGTTGGCAGGGAATGGGAATGAGGTACCCTGTGTAATCCCCTTAAAGGGTATATATGGGACCCTGACTCCCGCATTCCCTGCTAACCAACAGCAAGAATAGCCGCATGTAAGCAGGATGCCAGCTCGTACTCCAAGAATCGAGTTGGAACCGTCGGATCTGCCAGAAACAAGAGATTCTCCGGTTCATCGAACGACTCTGCACCAACACTTCAGCAACAACGAGGAAACTGGCACCTTCGAAGGCTATGCCGCCACCCATCAGCTCTGCAAAGCACACAGCAGACAAGAGGCTAGCCATACCTCAGAACTCTGGGAAACTGTGACACCGCATGATTGATACCTGACGCCCGCACGTTTGGTGCCACAGTTTTCTCTCAGGGCTTCGCGAATGAGGAGGTGCTGAAACGCCTCGGTCCCATCGTGCGGCACTGCTCATGATCACGGAGCGCAAGTCTGCGGACTCTTGCCGCACCCGGCCTGAACCTCCTCATCATTCAACTTAGAGCCTTCGCAGTAGGCGATTAGGTCACTACATCCGTCGGAGAGGTCCTGAGCAACGAAACTTTGAATTTAAAAGAAAGTGCAAAGGATTGCAAACGGTACTCAAATTCTATGAAGCACATGATTGCACGTGTAGGTGACACATTTGAGAATGGGTGTGCACAAACTCTGCGCACTGTTCAAACAAGATTCTCCCACCAACTGGTATCCGAGGTCCGTTCCTTATGTGACACTGCGTCGACCAGAGTATAGCTAGCTTCTGGAGATCTGAACTGCTTCTCAGCGTCCTTCCCAGAACCTTAAGCTATCTTAATCAGAGAGGCGAATGGCTGGCATTGAGGTTTCCGGAGAGGCATCATGCAGGAACCAGCCCCAACACAGCGCGTGCGCTCGAAAGTTGACTAGATCAGCTGCGCAAGTCTGAGGCACAGGCTTCTGGTAACCTGTTTGGGTACGGAAAACAATGAGGAAGCTGATCAGGACCACGATGCCAGTGTAGGCCTGGTCGTCATTGATGACGCCAACCCTGGCAGCCAACAGAAGTATGCTCGCAAGCCATCCTAGAGTTGAACTCATTGCTTCCACGTCGCATTTTCTCGGCTTCCTTACTTGCGAGAAGCTCACTAGGACAACAGTCGCACTTGTGAAAAGCTGGTACACAGGACCCAGTCTTGTCCAGTCACTCCCACCCAGTCTGTCATAAGACGCTATTGTGAGGCTGTGGCGCTTTGGCATGATGCTCCCTTTCTGATGTTGGCGCTTGTGGCTTGTCTCGAACATGTTGCTTTGTGATGCATTTCCCTGCTTTTTGTTCCTAGTCAGACTCCATGGACCCCGGCCATGCATTCGTACAGCGTCCAAGCGTCCACATAGTTCTGATAGAACTTTAGCCCGCCTGCTAGCAAAGCACAGGGCAATGATATCCCAAGCGCCTCAGCTGCTGAACTGCAGCATGCCAGGAGGCAAGTGGAAGGACAGCTCAGAAAAAGCAGCTGGAAAGCAGAGTTGTGAGGGCCAGGCGGACCAGAATCGCGGTTGCAATAGCAAAAAACATATGTTCCAGAACGAGCAGCCTTCAAGCGTTTGCAGCTGTTCAAGCGGGCTCCATACATCTCCGTACAGCACGAATGCAGCGCGTCGATTCTGCGACCAGCTGGATTGAAAACAAGTCGGAAAAGGCACTGCGAGCAAGTATGGCAAAGCTTACACTAAGCGTGAAGTGTAAGTAGCGTAGCATGCCGTCTACGTGCATCTGACTTGCGACAAGCTACGAAGTCTGCACCTCATGACCGAATGCCACCGCGAGGCAAGTTGCGCTCGAATACCTCATCCTTGTCAGTGGTTGAAAGTCGGGGTTCGGCTTCTTGCTCCTCACGCAGCATCGCGTCCTGCAGCTTCGGGTCATCTTTACACAAGGCGATTGTGTCTGCGCATCGTGCCGGCGAAAGGAAGTGTGCGCTAACAACTCACGCCTTTTCTTAGACATTTCCCCCCTTCATTGGCCCATGCCAAGGTGCCGTATTATCCGCGTGCGGGAAGATATAGATTTGTCTTTGAGGGAGTGCTTCTCCGTTGATCTTGGCGACTTCTCGGAGATCGGCGGCATGATGCACCACCAAGCAAACTGCTAATTTTTATCTTGAACGTGACATGGTGTTCATGAATTGGAAATGCGAGCCCTCGTGCAGCACCTTCTTGTTGAAGCATGTTTTTGTTGGAGCATGTCTGCACACTGTTGCCACACTACGCTCTGGGCTGAGATGAGAAGTTGTAAGAGATCTTCTTCGAGCCAAGAGTGCCCAAAGGATGAATCGGTAGGTCGGATTCGAACTGTCGGACTTTAGCAACATGATATGGTACCATGTGTCATGCCTCACACAGCCCAAGCCTGCAAAGCTGGCGGCGGCCTCCTCCCAAGGTATCCATGCAGATGCACAGTAGGACTCAGCTACTGTAGGGACTCGTGCATACGCGCACACACACACACAAGAATGCAGTGTCGCTTCTGTCTTCCTTCGCGTATTTTCAGCAGTGTCGTGATGGTCAGTATTGCGGGTCCATCTCCCTATGAAACACTCAGTGAGACACGGCTCCCGACGAGCCACCGAATTCTTCAAGTTTGAGCAGTTAACCGGTACGCTGCATCAGGCCAGGTGCTCGTCGGATTTACTTGCCACTTTGCTGGATCGCGTAGACTTGCTCAAGGTGGTAGTAGTACGTGCGATGCCCTGCATGTCCTCGAACTTTGTCTTTGCTACCTTGTGCTTGCATCGCAAGGCTCGCACAAACTCCTTTGCATCATCCTTCTTCTCAAGCATCTCGTCACGCTGTCGGCACAAGTCACGAATCTTTTGTGCTCGCTTGCTTGCTGAAGCTTTTAGAGAGTCTAGCCTCTTCTGCAAGCTCTCGAGCTGGTCGGTCACCTGGTCAACTTCAATTTGGCGAACTCTCTGAATCGCAGAATTGGCTTCGAATTCTTGCCCGAGAAGCTTCGCCTTGCTTGTCTCATCTGAGAAGGCCAGATTCAACGTGTGTAGCTCTGACTTCAACCTCTTGGTGGTCTCCTTGCTGTCGACTAAAGCAGGAGCTTCCAACTTTTGCTTGAGGCGCTTGTTGAGATCTCGTGCTTGTTCAAGCTTAAGGGTGAGGTCTTCCTTCTCCTCCTGGAGCTGCTCTTTGATCTTGCCGACCTTGGACTCTGAGGCCTTCTTGCGGGAGGCATCCTCCTTCTTCACCTTCTGCAACATCTGCTGCAGCTTCTTCACCTTTTGCTGATGCGCCTGGTTCTCCCTGTGGTTGTAGGCTTTGTCCTGCTTCAGCTGCGCACGTAGCGTGTCCAACTCCTCATCAATCTGCTTTTCCTCATCCCACATGGCCTTGTAGCGATGAAAACTTTCATCGATGACGGCGTCATCATCTGTGTTGAGCTCACTCTCCATTTCTTCCCAATCTGCAAGCTTCTCGAGCGAAACGTCGGTGGCGCACTCAGCTGTTGTGAAGGCCTCCGACGGAACAAGGTTCTTCTTCAACGGGGGCGATGCGGCCATCTGCACGAACAGCTCAAGCTGTTCGGCCATACTCGTGGCCCCGCAGCCACCCGACATCATGGCCAACTTAGCTGGCCGCCACTGGCGCGTGTGCTAAATGGCAACTAGGACTGCAAGGTTGAAAATCCTTATCTTCATGCAAGAGCCTTTCAGGCTTTTTGAAGCTGTTCTGCTGTGCACACTCTGTGTTTTTGCCGATCGATGCTGCCCAAGCCAAGCCGAGACAGCTGCCCAGGCTTGAAAGGTTCTGCATAGCTGTGCAACCTTTACCACATCACAGAGCATCAAGGCATGGGCGTTTACGAAAATAGGGGACCCCTAAACTAGACCCCAAATAGTAGGACTCCCTTATAAGAAGGATGCCAGTACGTGCCCCTAATTTCGGAAACCCCCACATGACAAAGCCAATCTAAGGCAAACCAAGCTCCACCGCGCCTGAGACTTTGTGGGGCCACTCTTTGAGAGTTTGACACCGGACATGGCGCGGCAGCTGAAAACATGAGTTGCACTTATGCGCACATGTCGGGCTGTTAAGCACTTGGGAGCTGGGATACAGAAAAAACACGGTCCCTGCGAAACTTTGAAGCCTTGCTGCTTTGGCGTGAAGTACTTCTACCCATCTTGTAGAGCATTTATAGCTTGGCGGGGTGGCTCAGGCATTTCGGCTTGAGCAGATGCCCACGCACCGTTTCTCCTTTCTGCAGCCTTGCTTCTTGGATGCCAGCACAAGCACTGCTGGGCCCAGCACACTGTGCATAGTTTACTGATGAGAAAGACACCGAAGTCACCGCATGACTCGTGCATTGCATCAGCCACTTCAGTAGTTACTGACTATTTCGAAGGGCATGCGTTGGCCTTGTATGCACCAAAACGTCTGCAATGTTTGCCGCATGCTGAGTCGGCCTTAGCAGCAAATAGCAGCTTGCAGCTGAGCTTAGCACACCCACTGCTTTGGCACATGCCAAACTTCACTGGATGAACTGGTTCCACCTTGTTGCCAACTCAGGGCAGGACTCCAGGCCTAGAAGCAGCCAATGGTTTTCTGCCTCTTCCCTCTTGAACGGGCACTCCTGCAAGGATGAACGTTACGGTACAGCACCCGCTCTCTCGCTGTCCATGCAAAGTACCTTCACCGTACTCCAGTAAACCTTTCATGCCCGTTTACAGCACCAAACGCTAAAAGAGGCGTGCAGACAGCTCACTCCAAACTGCCTCACACGGCAGAACACAGAAGCAACCGCCCGCTCCACTACATACACGTGGCGAACCTCACCAAAGTGCGACTTGCGGAAGAGGCAGGTCGTTCCCAAAAGGCACTCCTTCGATGCAATAAGAACATGAAAGTGGATTAAAGTGCCATTTCCGTGTTGTTTGAACCTGTGCAGCGTCGCCGACTTATATATGTTTGTGTGAGGTTGTGAGGTTGTGAGGTTGTGAGGTTGTGAGGCTGTGAGGTTGTGAGGTTGTGAGGTTGTGAGGTTATGAGGTGTTTGGGGTTTAGGGTTTAGGGTTTAGGGTTTAGGGTTTAGGGTTTAGGCTTCAGGGTTTAGGGTTTAGGGCTTAGGGTTTCGTACAGTTTCCGCCGGCCACGCACGTCCTCGAAGATGGAGGCAGCCCGCACAAGGCAGGGGTGCATCCTGGGAGTCTGCACATGGCACGTCCCATGCATCCTTTTTCCTGGTTTAGGGTTTAGGGTTTAGGGTTTAGGGTTTAGGGTTTAGGGTTTAGGGTTTAGGGTTTAGGGTTTAGGGTTTAGGGTTTCCTGAGTCTGAGTCTCCGACCAACGGCAGCCCTGAGCAGGCTCCAGAGGATCTCTCCGCAGCAGCAGGACCTCTCGGAATCGATCATCAGTCAGCAAGCTCGTCGAAGCAAGCGAAACACATGATCTGGTTCCTTGCGGAGTCCCCAAGACTTTCAGATTCATCAGATGAGCCAGAACCTGCCTAAATCCTGCATCTAAACCTTGCAGATGGGGCGGGGGAGGGGAGGGCTACTTGAATCCTGACGAGGGCTCAGGTCGTGATCGCAAGGGTAAAGGCGCTGAACCGACATTTTGCAGCAGGGACTGCGAGCGAAGCCTACACTTGCTACTGTAGGCGAGCGACGCTCGCCACAAACGTATTTGTGCAGGTACTGGCATGCTTGGGAGACTTTGGCAGGCACTGCGGCGCAGAAGAAAAGAGACACTGCTGTTCAAGACCGCCCATGGGACCATTCAATTTAGCGAACAGAAAAGCTCGAGCTGAAGTCGACTCTTGGCACACAAAGGGGTCAGATTCGTCAGCTTCACTCTCATCAAAACACGGATGCTTGGCTCCGCGCCTCTCCGCGTCCGCCTTGCGCGGAGCTCAAAGCCTGCAACGGAAATCATTTGGGTACTCGATAAGCGCAAATATACTTTTGATGAGGTGCACCGCGGCCCCGAGACTCTGACCTCTTGCCATCTCTCTGGATGCAAAAGCATGGACTCCTGGAATGGCGTGTATAGGTGTTCTTCCACGCCATCGAGGTAGAGTTAAACATGTTGCCATGTTGTCCACTCGATGGCGGGATACAGGTGCTCACAACCATGAAACCTTGACAAGATGTCACAAGACTGCACGAGCCAAGTACCTTTTCTAGCAAGGTGATCTTGAACATGTCTGCGAAGAGTGTGGAACGTACACATGTATACAGCCCAGCTTGCACAAAGCCTCTAGCCCTGTGGTGCGGGAACGAAACTCTCGGAAGGGGATGTTAGGGCAACTCACCGTCTTGATTCTGAGTATAGATGCCAAGGTGAGCTGAATGGCAACTACATTTTAGCACACCAGTGGTCATCGCCTCACCGACGCGAAGCAGCCTGCAGTTCAGGTACCTTTGCCAAACATGTGGCAGTTGATATGCATTCTGCACAAAAAGCTGCACAAAAGCCACAGCTGGAACAAAATGCAGACACGGACGCCTACGTGCTTGACGCATCCATTTTCAGCAAAGGTGCTCAGCTGGGCCCTCTACAACCAGCACCTGCTCGCCTTTTTCAGCCTGCCCCGCGTTCACCGAGAAGGGTTGCTGGGCAAGCTCAGAACTCTTGAGAAGGTGGCGTCCATTATCCAATCAAGCCATCTGAAACTGGGACCACTGTGGCGCGTGCGAGGCAGATCTGCTCACGCGCCCGCGAAGTTTGTTGGCCATGAAACCTCGAAGGCAAAGGCAGTCTCACCAACTCAAGTCCCAGAACGGCAAGGGCAAGATGTTGACTTAAGCGCATCCCATCTTTCCCTGACCCCAGAACTTGTTTTTCATGATCTGGCTGATGTGGTTTCCATCATAGCTCGGATTTTCTCTCCCTGGTGGTGAGAGCATTCGGCGGGAGACGCGACGGTTGCATGGCCTCAGAACCTGCTCCGCTCTTGGTGCCCTCTTCGCTAACGTGGACGGGGAGGGGAGGGGGTAGGGACGGAAGTGAGTTGCATAGTTGGAAGGTTGTGAGGACACATATGGTAATACATACAATACATGAAATGCTTCATGATTGCCCCATGCATTGCTGCAGGGCCCGTGCTCCCTCCAAACAGCAGCCACAACTCGGCCATCCTGGCAGAGGGTCGTTCACGTGCACAAGGATCGTGTGGCTAAGTCAGAGCTGGTTACAGGGCTTTGGATGTGAGCTCAGCACGTGCTTCACCAATCATGCTGCTTAAGTACGATTTGCAAGTGGGGACCTCCTTTTTGGAAATCTTCTCCACCGTGAACTTGCGGTGCTCCGTGAAGAATGATTTGTGCCGGCCGCCCAGCACAGAGACCTGCGCAGACCACAGCCTTTCACCAGAACTTGCTCAGGACAAGTCAGCTGGGATGCCAACAGACGGATGTTGATCCATGAAACCTTACTTTGGAGAAGCCATCAGTACTGCACCGAAGCAGAATGCAGAGTAAAAGCTGCAGCCAAGCAGCGGAGCTGCTTCACTATCCGCTCGCGGGCAGCCTAAGCCGAGTTCCAATGCAGATGCAGATCGCTGCTTCCAGAACGGCCAAGCAGTCAGTGGTGTCTCATCTTATCGCTTGACAACTGCAATAGACGTCACAGTTGAGCCTGAGTCATTGGCCTCATCATCAGCATCCAGGCGTGCCACGAAGCTCCCCCGGCAATGCTCCCAGCCTTCGCGAAGGCATCCGGCCACGCCCTGCTGCCTGGCTTCGTCAGCCGGTACACGGGGCTTTGTCCTTTAACGTTCAAGGGATGGTAAGAGCAGGAAAGACTCCCTGGTATCGCAGGGTTTGACAGGAGATCGTATTTGCAGCATAGATTGTCGGACGGGGTTCGAAGCGCAGCAGAAATGCCGCTAGGAGGACAGGGGAAAGTTACAAACCATCTTCATATCAAAGCACATCTTCGTGTGCAGTTCGGGTGCAGAAAATGGCTAGGTTTGTCTCTGTCTGTTGGCTTTGGCTTTGTTGTGGCGAGCCTTCGGCTTTAGTTGGGGGTGGAATCCCCGCAATCAAGGTGAGTGCACAATGCTTGGCTTCACTATGCAGCTCGGGCGGGCGAAGCTTGCAGCGACGAATACATACATTACATATATTTATTTTTTTATATTTATTTATTTATATCTATTCACTTTTATATCAAAATTTATTCATTCATTTATTCCCGAAAGCATCGCGAAGGGTTCTTCCGTGCGGAGCCCTCTGACCCAACAACATAGAGTGAAGTGCATAGAGTGAAGTGCATAGAGTGAAGTGCATAGAGTGAAGTGCATAGAGTTAAGTGCATAGAGTGAAGTGCATAGAGTGAAGTTCATAGAGTGAATTGCATAGTGTGAATTGCATAGAGTGAAGTGCATAGAGTGAAGTGCATAGAGTGAATTGCATAGAGTGAAGTAGAAGTTAATAGAAATTACGAGATTTACGTAGAATTTAGTAGACCTTCGTACCCAGTCCTAGATTTCTAAATTAAAATTAATCTTTCTAAGGCGGCGGGCTGGGTTGACATCGCTCTGCGGGTTTCGGCGTGGTCGCGGTGCTAAAACCGTCGTGTTTTCACGTTTCTTGATTTGCGCGGACAACCCTCTGCGGGTTTCCGCGTGGTCGCGGTGCTAAAACCGTCGTTTTTTTACGTTTCTTTAGGTCCGCGGACAACCCTCTGCGGGTAATCGCCGGGTCGCGGTGCGAAAACCGTCGTTTTTGGTACTTTTTTCCGTGGCCGCAGACAACCCTCTGCGGGTTTCGGCGTTGGCGCGGTGCCAAAACCGTCGTGTTTTTGCGTTTTGTGACATACAAAAGTAACCCCTCTGCGGGTTTCGGCGTTGGCGCGGTGCCAAAACCGTCGTGTTTTTGCGTTTCTTGACATGCAAACGTAACCCCTCTGCGGGTTTTCGCGTGGTCGCGGTGCGAAAACCGTAGTGTTTTGCGTTTTTTTTGTCGACTTGTGTAGTACAGACGTAGTACGCCGGGGACTTCCGTGGCTGGAAAATCGACTTTTGTAGTACAAACGTAGTACGCCGCGGACACGCGGAGCTTCCGTGGCTGGAAAGTCGACTTTTGTAGTACAAACGTAGTACGCCGCGGACACGCGGAGCTTCCGTGGCTGGAAAGTCGACTTTTGTAGTACAGACGTATAGTACGCCGGGGACACCCGGAGCTTCCGTGGCTGGAAAGTCGACTTTTGTAGTACAAACGTAGTACGCCGCGGACACGCGGAGCTTCCGTGGCTGGAAAGTCGACTTTTTGTAGTACAAACGTAGTACGCCGCGGACACGCGGAGCTTCCGTGGCTGGAAAGTCGACTTTTGTAGTACAGACGTATAGTGCGCCGGGGACACCCGGAGCTTCCGTGGCTGGAAAGTCGACTTTTTGTAGTACAAACGCAGTACGCCGCGGACACGCGGAGCTTCCGTGGCTGGAAAGTCGACTTTTTGTAGTACAGACGTGCAGTACGCCGGGGACACCCGGAGCTTCCGTGGCTGGAAAGTCGACTTTTGTAGTACAAACGTAGTACGCCGCGGACACGCAGAGCTTCCGTGGCTGGAAAATCGACTTTTGTAGTACAAACGTAGTACGCCGGGGACATCCGGAGCTTCCGTGGCTGGAAAGTCGACTTTTCTAGTACAAACGTAGTACGCCGCGGACACGCGGAGCTTCCGTGGCTGGAAAGTCGACTTTTTGTAGTACAGACGTAGTACGCCGCGGACGCCCTGGGCGTCTGAAGACACCGCACATAGCATGGTAACGGACATCTGGGCGCCTGAAAAACACCGCAAATAGCATGGTAGCGGACATCTGGGCGCATGAAAACACCGCAAATAGCATGGTAACGGACATCTGGGCGCATGAAAACACCGCAAACAAATATCATGGTAACGGACATCTGGGCGCTTGAAAAACACCGCAAATAGCATGGTAACGGACATCTGGGCGCTTGAAAACACCGCAAATAGCATGGTAACAGACATCTGGGCGCTTGAAAACACCGCAAATAGCACGGTGACGGACGTCTGGGCGCTCGAAAACACCGCAAGTAGCATGGTAACGGACATCTGGGCGCTTGAAAACACCGCAAATAGCATGGTAACGGACATCTGGGCGCTTGAAAAACACCGCAAATAGCATGGTAACGGACATCTGGGCGCTTGAAAACACCGCAAATAGCATGGTAACGGAGTTCCGCGCGCGTGAAGACACGGGGATGTTTTTGTCTTTTCTCGTCGACAACCTCGCAAATATCGTGGGACTCGAGTTCCGGGCTCGAATTCCTCGAAAACCTCGCAAATATCGTGGGACTCGAATTCCGGGATGTCGAAACCCTCCCAAACATCGTGGGACTCGAATTCCGGGGCATCAAAAACCTCTCGCAAACATCGTGGGACTCGCATTCCGGGGCGTCGAAAGCCTCGCAAATATCGTGGGACTCAAATTCCGGGTCGAAAACCTGGGAAATATCGTGGGACTCGAATGTGAATGCCATGCAGCGGACCGGGAAAAAAGTGATCTCGTTTTGGAGGGAAGGCAGCCAGTCCTGCGCTCAGACCCGTCTCTCTGTGGGTAGTGATCAGCGGTTGCTGTCAGATGTCACATGTTTGGGCGATGTCCCATCTGGATGTCATGGGGCGCGAAGACGTCAATGAAGGGGTGAAGGCATCCCGCACTGTGTCTATGTGCTCGTGTTCGTGTGCTGTATGTCTGTTGTTTGTGCTGTTGCAGCGTGTAGGTGCTGTTACGACATCAAGAAACACGAGAAGGCATCCTGCGCTGTCTGCGTGTGCCGCATGCGTAGAACTGAATTCACGCTTGGACGTTTTGCTGTGTTAACCACCTCATGATGCGTCTCTGCACTTATACTTGCAGCTTCTTCACGGTTCAACATGTCGTGGCGCGGCACGAAGTCGCGGCCCTTGGGCCATCGTGGTAGCATTCAGAAGCATGGAGGAGGCTGGCGGGCGCACTTTTCGAATGTTGTCCTGTGCGATGATGTCCAGAATATCATCGGCCCGCTGCGCGAGTCCAAGAAGAAAGCGATGGCAGACTTGAACTTCATTCGTGACTCTACCACAGTGGGTGAGGCTGCTGCGCGAGCTGCCGCGCTGAAGGTTCCAGCTGGCGTGGTGAGTTCGAGCGAGACACTGTGTCTTTGCGGGCTGAACGTGCAGTATCCGTGGAGTCGGCTCCTCATGGCAGGTCGCAAGACGATGGAAGTCAGGAAGTACGCTCTGGGGAAGTACCGCTGCTTCTCTGCGGGCGAGCAGCTGTTTCTCATCGAGACTCTGGGCAGCGGCTCCACGCAGGGTGCCATGGTGGACATCGCGATGGCCCCCGCTCCGTTGAAGGCGCAAGTGCTCGGCGTCATCGTTTTTGCGGGCAGCATCGAGTTTGAAAATTACGACCACTTCGATGCTCATCGATCGGATACCCTGATTGAGCAGGGTAGCTTCTATGATTGGGGGACGTCAGAGCCCCAGACGCTGTTCGGTTGGTACGTGCAGCACGTTCGTGCCTTCAAGCGGCCTGTGCCAATGGGGCACATACGGAAGTCCCTGCTCGGCTGGACCAAGCCGGTAAAGCTGTTGGTGGACTTCAAGAGCAGAAGCCCCCGGCCACCAGTCTCTTGAGGAAACGCCCTAGAAAGTGAAGCGCTAGGGACATTTACTGTGATGAATGTCTTTCTTATGAGACGAGTGCTGCAGTTTCTGTCTCTGCATCCAGTTTCCTTTTTTGACAGCTGAACACAAGTCTTCGCCGCCTGCCAGAGGACGGACGCCGTCTTGCGAAAGTTCGACGGCGCGGCGGCCTCTGTTTTGTATAGGGGGGCTCCCCAAGACTGGCGCGAGCACTTTTCCCGCTCTGGTGTGCGGCACGTCCAAGTTGAATTGGACGACCCCAGAATCAAATGCAACCGGGATGCTTCCTGGTTCTTCGACAGCGCAGAGCGGTGCACCCAGGCTTGTGGACAGACATGGCTCAGACTTTGCGCACTCTGCGCGAGCAGTGCCAACAGGCGGGCGAGGAGTTCAACGTGCTCTTCCATTGCTTCGGTGGCATTAATCGCAGTCCTGCTGCCCTCTGCGCTTGGCTGGTGCTGGACGGCCAATGCAGCGTAGATGAAGCTGTGGACTGCATCTTGTCGGCTCGGCCAGCTCTGCAACCGTGGAAACGCAGAGATTATGCTCTCTTGGCTTTGCACCGCCTGCAGAACTCTCGCTAGTTTGAACCCTTGCTTACTCCCCTCAACGCTGTCTTGCGAAAGGGTCTTTCGCGTGTACCAGCCCAAGATATAAAAAGCAAAAGCTGCTTGGCCTCCTGCCTGCGCCTCAACATGCACACATATGCGCCGTCACACATTCCATCGGATGCTCTACACGCATGCGTGTTGTCTTGGACCAGCGCAGGTGCCTGCCGCGACCAGGCAGTGGACTTCGGTGCGCAGCCTCAGTGCCACTCTGCTGCTGCTTGATGGTGCACTGAAGCGGAACCGCAGCATGGCCCCTCGCCGAAGCATTGGCCCTAGTGACTTCCAGGTGGTATTTTGCCAGGGCCGAATGGACGCTGTCTTGCGAAATTTCCGTCTGCAAGAGACGGACACCTCCGCCGCAGCTGAAGATGGGCACGTATATTCTGGTGTAAGGTATCAGCTAAGCGATGGAAGTGTGTTTTGCAAGGCCGACACCAATGCCTACTCGACTTACATGCCGCTGGTTTATATGCCTACTATGCGGAAGGTGCAAGTCTGGATATCTGCCACTTGGACTGCATGGCGAGTCGTGAACACCTCCAGCACTGTCGGGGATTTGAAGGAGTCGCTCCTCTCCACACTCAGCAGCAGTTGCAACTTCAAAGTCCGTGTGCAGGACTTTCGCTTGTTGCCAGCTGAGGGTGGCAAGGTTGGTGATGACTGCAGAGTGTACTATGCCAAGAGCAAGAAGTACTCTTTGGAGTGGTTACGTAAACCCTGATGTGCGGCGACCCAAGGCTTTTGCTTGTGAAGTTGCGTTGAGGACGGCGAGCTGCCTCGCGTAGTCTAGGCTCTCACTGCGCGCGGCCGAATGGACGCTGTCTTGCGAAAATTCGGCCGGCGACAGAGGGACACCTCTGCCGTACACGGGCGCAATATTTGTACAGCTTCGGAACAGAGCTTCTGCTTTACAATGTTCGCGCAGAAGCGCAATGTTCCGCAGCATTCCTCGCAACAAGCTTGCCGCGTATCCCTCAGCCTCCTCGCTCCTAGCTTGTTCCCCAGCTTCAACTCTTCCAGACCTTCTCATACGGCTACCAAGCTAGCTCGGCCAAGGCTTCAGCTTCCTCTTGCGTCATCCTGATCCAGTAGAGGTCCTGTACTGGACCAAGATGACGCAAGAGGAAGATGAAGAGTTGGCCGAGCTAGCTTGGTAGCCGTATGAGAAGTTCTGGAAGAGTTGAAGCTGGGGAACAAGCTAGGAGGTGGCGCTGCGCAGCAGCAAGAGCTGCGCGGCCTGCGCGAAGGTTTCGCCGCTCACGGCGTGGCTTGGCTGCGCGAGGAGCTTGCGAAGCAGACCGTGACGCAGTTGCGGGCGCTTGCTGGGGCTGCGGGTGTGCAGGGGGCATCTACGCAGAGATTCGCGGCAGCCTCGAGTCCGTTCAGAAACCTGCCGCGCCTTGGACGAAAGACGTTTTCTTTGCCGCCGACCTGAAGATGGTACTTCGTACAACCTGAGCGACATCTCCGACTGGCCTCTCGATGCTGTGGTGGTGCGGTCTTCGAAGCCTGGTCGACGTCAGCACCAACACTTCCGCGACGGGCGTGCAGCAGCGCTGTGAAGCTGGCAAGCGAAACAAAGAGGAGCTTCTTCACGCTCTGTTGCAGTGCATTTCCGAGCAGGAGGCGTTATGGGAAGCTTTCCCATGACGCCTCCTGCTCTGAAATGCACTGCAACAGAGCGTGAACAAGCTCCTCTTTGTTTCGATTGCCAGCTTCATCAGGCGCACTATTGCGCAAGTTGCATTGTATTGTGGATTTGCGAAAGTGTGGGGACGCAGCCCGCGGGGCAGGGCGAGTTTTGACGTCACAGCGGAGGCAGGGCCCGAAAGCGCGGCTGCAGAACCGCATGGACGCCGTCCGGGCTATGTTTAGTATGGACACTGCGACGCACGCGGGTGTGAAAATGCAGCTAGGACCGCCCGGGACGATTGGCACCTTTGTCGACCGACTTGCAAGTCAAGCTGTTTTCTGCGCGCAGGTATTCCATGGCGACCAACATGCACGGCCCTTACTTAGACTCCACCTCTTTTGTCTGTTTTTGTGCTTGTCTGGTTTTTGCTTCTTTCCTTGCACCGGCGCAGGTGCGTGCCGCGACCGGCCGCTGGAGCTCGGCGTTGTCTTCAACGCCGATGAAAAGTCTACAGAGTTGACCACAAGTGCATGGCATTCAACTCCACACACTTGAATGCCATGCAGTTCCAGTGCATACAAGTGCAGTGTACAAGTGACTATGCAACCATGTAAGGGCATACATTTCTCCAAGTGCATACAGTTCGATTACAAAGAGTCAAGTGCATGGAGTCAACGCACGGCAAATCGATGCTTTCGGGCCATCCCTCTTCTAGTTTATCTATTTGTTTCTATCTTATATAGGGGTCAGGTGAAGTCCTCGATTTGTAAAGACATGCTCGAAAAAAATTTGGGCATCGGTCTTGAGACTTGAAACTCCATTGATGCACGCCCGACAAGCAAGACGCTAGAACAACGAAGAGGAACGACACCGAAGACAAGAATAACTCGCAAAATGATCCAGATTGTCATTGTAGGCTTGAAAGGCAGCAGCTCTTGCTGACGGCCAAAAGAACACTTGCACGGAGTTCCAATATGGCAGGGTACCACGCCAATCACGAAGCGAATTTGTCTGCGACCCTACACTCAGCCGCGCACATGCCGTTGCTGTCAACGACTCGAACCTCAAGTTGAACATGAAGGCATAATTTGCGGCATCATCCAGAGGCTCTGCAACAATCGACATACGCTGCAGGCAGGCTGCATTCGGATGCTTCTCTGCGTAGTTTTGCAAAATGGAGGAAGTTCCGTCTTCGGAAGCGTCCTGAAGAACTCGGCGACGTGCAGCTGACTCGGGTTTGAAGACTGTCAGGGGTGGGCAAGCAGGCAACTCTTGAGCGGGCGGTCGGCTGCATGCAGGACTGGCTGAGTCCCCGAGACTGCCCTCGCACGGCTTCTACAGTTACAGGCACGGGATGGCTTGTCCTCGACCACTACAATCTCGTAGGAGTTTGCAGCAACGCCTGCCTTCAACAGAGCAGCACAACTACTTCTTGTGTGTTTTCGCCTGCTGGCGTTCCCGATCTCCTTTCGGCGATGTTTGCATATCTTTTGAATCATATTCTTACTTGTATTATTAGTATTATTACTCTTATTGTTAGTATTATTAGTAGTATTATAAGTAGTGTTATTCAAGGGCATGGCAGCTCTTGGCCTGCTGCTCGATGGAACGAAAGCCTCTCTCGGCGCACAGACCCCAAGCGCAGAGGCACATGGCGCGAGCACTCTCTGCACGTGCAGCAGAGCAGCAATCAAGGAGGAAGTCTTCACAATTGCGCGCGGGTATCAACCTCAGCCATTTTTTAATTGGGAATGCTGGGATCTTTCAGATAAGTCTATCATTGGCCTGTGGGGCTCCCACCAGGAGACGAGCGGCTCGCTACCAAGCTCTCTGGGTGGCCCTGCAGCATCTTGCAATAGCACACAATGGCACACAAAAATGCAGGTACAGCAACTGTGCCTTATACCGACATTCAGCTGATCACACGGTTTATGCGAAGGCTGGCCTGCCGAAGGAGCTGAAAGTGGCACGCGCGTGGAGTCGAAGTAAGACGCCCGATACCTATACCGAAAGCCGGAGCAGATCTGGGAGGGCTCAGGGATGCTCAGGGTTTAGGCTGCGGCATTCTGGGGCTTCACAGCAGAGAGCATCAGGATTCTAAGAGGTCTTGCCTTTCCGGCTGCAGCAGCCCGTCCAAGATGCTGGGTGGTGGAGTGCCTGCACCGACTATTTTGCGTCCGCTTGCCCTCAGAGGGAACTTCCTGACATGCAGCCTCCATCTACATCTTGAAAGTAGCTGCTCACTTCAGCTTCGCTCCAGCCTCAGTCAGTGGCGTAGGAGCGAAAGCGTGAGGTTCCTTGAAGTTCCTTGTGGGCCTTTTTGGAAAACCTTGCTCCTGAGCACACGGCTGAGATGATGTGCCAGCTTCTTCATGCCAGCCTGCCAACGCCCACTGAAAGAGCAGCCCGTGAGCAGGCACATACGCCGTTGGTTCGTTGCCTTCCCTCCCAAGCTTTGCAGCAGATGGGCACGGAAGAGCCCATCAGCCTGTCCACCGAAGATGGAACACCCGGTGATACGCACTCAGCCACCGTCCTCCAGTTGCCTGCTTCGCAGATCCGAAGACACCGGGCTCAAACGTGATGAGCAGCGGCTCCATGAAGCAAGCGGTGCCTTGAATTTCTAAGCCCCCCCCCAAGCCGGGCTTCGGGTTCCGAAGGACGTGTGACGTGTGACGTGAGGCTCCACTCGGTCCCAGGCAGATCGAAACCTCTCGGCGCTTCATTCGCTGCCTTCTGCTCAGCCAATCTGCAGCCTCCCGCTGCCATAATGCAGGGAACTGCTGCAAATCGTGTAAAATCGTGCAAAACCATTCGGAGACTGTTACAATTCAGCGATGCAGGTCTGTCAAAAGCCTTGTCGTCCAGCTCTTGCACGGTGTCAACCTGCTTCCCCTGGAGCGCCGAGAAGAAGTGTGCCACGTGCTCGGCCTGGAAAGCTGGACAACCACAGCAGACACACAACATTGCGTTGGCACCTCCAACTCGAACACGAGTTGGCTGCCTGTTGACTCAAATGCTGGCGGGCTGTAGTATAAGGTCATGGCACGTACCAGGCTTGCCGTCCAGCAGAGAATATCATCCCAACCACTTTCGCGCGGCACCTGGCAAGCCATGCCTGCGAACCCAGACATGGGCTACGAAGCTCGGCCCGCCACTGCACACTTTGAGAAGTCAGCGGTCAGAATTTTGTAAGCACTTGCAACATGCAAGCATGCAAGCTCTGGACAGCAGTCCTTCTAGCTAGCTCAGGCGTCCGCAGCTTCATACGCCATCTTCGAGGAGTCGAAGCTGCGAGTCCACACCCTGTGTGATGGCAACGCAGATAATACTATATAGTATGTCAATGATGTAATCCGATGTAATATGATGTAATATAATGTCATATGATGTAACATTGTACGATGACAGGACGAAAACAGGGCTCAGGGTCATATGTCATAAGTTATAACTCTGCCAACCTGCAAATCTTCTGCGGCGCGCACATGAGACGTGGATCGTTCGCAAACGGCTTGGAGCGAGGTGCAGATGCCTCAGGCAAAAAGCATCAAAAAACTGCGAAAGGATCATGCCTCTCGGACGAAACACCTGTGTCCCAGTCATACTGAGTGTCTGGCGTATAGCTCTTCTGCCGGAAAGTGCTCGATGCGAGGGTTCCTGGATTGGAAGGAGAAAAGACAACAAACGAAAGCTTGACCCCTGCCAAAGCTTCTCCGCCTCTCCGAGACTGGAATCCCTCTTCGTTTGCGTGAAAGTTGCTTCAGGCATCTTGGCCCCAAGCAAATCCAAGCGCACAGCAAACGTTTCTGAGCGTTCGCTGAGCAAGGCCTGGAATGACGTAAATGCTCACAAAACACAAACAGAAAGGTTTCCGAAACGATGAGAGGTTGTCTAAAGGGCCTTTCCAGTCTCTGAGGGATGCCAAGGCCAGGGCTGAAGCCGCCGCAAGATCCTCAAAGATGCGCGGGGCATCATGGTGTCAGGCGGTGCAAGCCCAAGGCTGTAGCAAGAGGCGACATCCCCTACTCGACATCCCCAATCAAAACTGAGGGTCTGTGTTGGTGTGGAAGACCACGGCGTCTGAAAGTATGAGCAGATGACGGATCCTCAGGTGGTAGCAGAGAACAGGCTACTTTTGGCTGTAGTCCCTGCCTACTCACTGAGAACTGGGCCCGTCAGCTGACAGACGACTAACCTTATGGACATGCGCTGAATGTCTATCTGCGAGGTCATGTAGAACCAGTCAAAATGATGTACATGTACACACATGTGAACATATTCAACCAACAATCGGCAAGTACCTAATACACAGGCCACATGCACCGAGATCGATAGAACTCTGCGACGGGTCCTACACAACATCTTGCAACATCACACCAGAGAGGCCTGGTCACACAGACCCAGGAATCTGCAGATCTACGGAAACCACACAGTCCAAGGCGCCGTTCTGGAGAAGTTCCCATACAGCTGACCCTTCGGCACTTCCAGCCAGGCCTGAGCGACTCAAGGAAATGGACCAATGTTCAACCCTGAGTCGTGGTAGTGAAGAGACTATACTGGCCGGAATGAGACAGTAGCAGTGTTCATGTTCTCCGGGCCAACAAATGTGCGCGTGCCGAAGGTACTACGTCACGAGTGCCGGGAGGCGTTGAAGCACAACCCATTCCCATCAGAGCCCATGCTAGACATAGGGAAGCTCCGAAGCTCCGTCGAGCCGCTTCTACCTCTCGACAAACATCGACAAGCAACCGCATCCGGTGCTGGGTGCTTGGCAACCTCTCCATGCTGTTGGTTTCTGAGCCTTGTGAACTTGTGGTGCAAGCGGTGCGCAGGTGGAACAACAGGGCCAGAATCTGAGACCCTGGCTCTGGCAGGGCTTCCAGCAGCTGGTAAGAATGAATGCAGGAACCTCTTCAAGTGATTCGTGTCTTGCACGTCCCGCAGCCTCTTAGCTTCATAGTAGCTCGGTAGTCCGCCCCTTCCATCAAGGCAAGGTGCGTTCGGATGCCTGCCAAAAAACTGTCACCTCAGACAACTTGCCGGCTTGATCACACTGATTGAGCTGGACCTGCCCTCTCCCAAGCCAGTAAGACCAGGGCATGCAGCGCGGCGCCGTGCACATGCTTTTGCAGAGATTTTAAGCAGGCGTAGCACTGAAGCGGCCGGTCCTGCAACAACATATCTGCTGCTGTGCTTTGGACGGGACCACAGCTTGTCGTTCAAAAGCTATCTTCAAACTGGCCGTAAGATTAAAGCCCGATTACTTCCAGCTACAGGCCAGGCTTTTGCAAGTTGATGTTCAATGCACAATCAATCACCCAAAAAAGTCTAAAGCAACAGGACAGCCTGTTCAAGAACCACCCGTGGCAATCGCCAAAGTTGTGGGGTCGCCAGGGCATCCGGGCCGCAGTCACCGGGCATCCTACTTTGTCCTGCAACTAGCTTGACGTTTATTGGTCGCTCAACCGGCTGTCCGTCAATATCTCAGCAAAAGCGAACATGGATGAGGGCCCAGTTCCTGGTAAAGTCCCATGCGAATGGAAGTTATGCGCATGCATGAGCAACAAAGGTTCGGCTTAAACTAGTGTGCAGGATTGCGCGAACAATAGCTTCTGTCTGCACCACAAGACGTGCAAACAAGCCGGATCTTCGTTGTATCAAACGGCATTGGACTGTGAGGGGGGGGGATGGTATAGAATCTGAACGGAATTGTTCGGGCACCCACCTCAGAGAAAAGGAAGACGGCGACAGCTACTTCTGGCTGACCAGTCGACAGCGGAAGCACATCGGTCACCTGTACGAGGCTTGGTATGCACTCCATCGACTCACCAACAACATTGGCTACGCCCGCCTTTCTCGTTAAGCTCTTGCGCTTGCGGGCTACAACCTGCATGCGGCTGTCGCATGCCGTTGAAATACAACACGGCACGACACACCAGAGAGAGGGCTTATATATCCAAACCCCATGTTCTCGAGCCCGTGCTTCAGGGTACTTTCAGTGGCTGTGGTTCGGCCTGGAGTGCGTGCGTGTTCTTGGGCTCCATGATAAGGATGTCTTTGGCGTCCTCCGCGAAGCCGTCGCTTGATTCCACTGCTAGAAAGACGTATTGCTTAATCTGGGAGGTCCTTCAGAGCAGGCTCTTCCCTCCCAAGAGCATCCAAGGCAACCATGCGCCGAAGTAGGGCCTGCCGACCAGTCATCTGGGCAAGCGGCGAGCAGCAGCTACCAAACTCCCGATCGGATGGGCTTTCCGAACAAAAGCGAAACCTGCACTCATGACGTCAAGTGAGAACGAAGAGTACCACTATCTCTGAGGTAAGACTAAGACAGGTACGAGACAAGATAAACTGTCTTGCTCTCGTTGCGATCTCCCTTCCACGCAGAACTGGAAGTGGTGTCTCACAGCCCTCATGCCTTGATGTTGGCAGGCTGCTCCTTCAGGACCTTGGGCTCAGTATGGCGAGGGCGAGGGAGACGAGGGATCCCTGTGTGTTCCCCAGCCTCCGAGGTGTCTTGCACCACAGGCTCATGCCTCTAACATGGCAGAGGTCGCCATGCTTCTGCAATGATTCGGGACAGTAGAAGGCAGGCACACAGCGACAATCCGAGCCCAGAGCTGCTTGAGCTGTGCATAACACGCAGCCCGGTTGTTCAGGCCTCAGGTAAGAATCAGTAAGAAGTATGAAACTGCAAGACGTGCTGCGTCATGCGAACGCAGGCTTCACATCTTCAACTCAGAGTCTGTTGCAAGCATTCAGTCAATCCTGTAGCTTTCCGGCGAAGAACAGCGCAAAGAAAATGAAGAGAATGGAAGCGGCTGATCAAGTGCTTGGCAGATGAGTGCTAGCTCAGAGGCAACGCCACACGACCTGAGCCATGACTCTTGACTGTTGTTTTAACATTGGGGCCTGCGCCTTGCATTTGGCGTGGTACGGGAACCAGTTGCTTTCTCCGCAGTTCCAAAGGGGAGGGGAGGGAAATAGTGTGCATTCTTATTCTGGATGTTGTATCATCCAGGTTATCGGATCTCGGAATGATGGGTCATATTTGGGAAGTCTCCTTGATCAAGCACTGGTGGCCAAAGAGCATTTCAACGTGGAAATGTGCAAAGAAAGATTGTGGCACGCAAGACGGTCGCAGTCTGCACAAGCTTAAGTTCAGGTTTACAAAGCTTAGGGCGTCCCAAGATTTCAGAAGCTAGAATGCGCTGCTGGCTCTATGATGTGAGCTCTTCAAGTTTCACTTCGACATGCCTTCTACCGGCTTCTGGTGCAGTTGCCGACAGCAGCTTTACACAAACACAGTATTGACCGCATTGCTTCTCACGACAATAATCAATAGAAACTCCAGTCACCAGCGATGGCATCTGAATCTTGTCAAACAACTCTACGCAGACTCTTGTAGATCTGACTTACTATTCTCTACTAGGTTAGGCCAGTGCTTCTTGCACGTTCCAGTTCTGCTTCTTTGAGCGCAGTTGTGCCACAGTTCCCACATTCTGCCGTCGGCGACGCTAACACAAGCTCGGATTTGATTGATGCTCATTTTTGGCCTGGCCATCAGTGGACCGCATCTCCCAGCAAGAGGCTCTGCTCTTCTCAGAGCTGTCGGTTTGCTAAGCCCCGAGTAGGTCCAAGAACCGATGGAGACATTGCTTCGCACCCCGAAGTGGTTCATCGCGACGCCAGCAGCGGTCAAACAGATACAGATACCGGATGGGACGTTCTTGGACCTAGCGGACCTCTCGTCTCAAGACAAAACTTGCTTTTTTCCTGCAGGCTGCTGCTGACAGAGTATCTTATTCCCTCGTCACAGCAGGCAGGTGGAATCCGGCGGAAGCCTTAGAAGCCCTCAACACATCGTGGTGACACGGCTAGGGCCGTTCACAGAGTTGCTCTGTCTAGGACAGGGCAACTCTCGAATTTCCAAAAATGCCATTGTCTACAATGCCAGGTCGGGGGATGTCGGGGGACCGGACACTCCAAAGATACTTTCAAGCTGTGCACCGCTAAGCCGATAGCTTTGAGACCGAAACACGAACCTGGCCGCGCAAGTCGGCTGCGAAAGGTGCACAACTCGTGGATAACTCCAGAGTGCACTCAAGCGTCAGCCTGCTTGCTTCCTACCTCCTAATCAATTCCTAACCATCCTACTCCTATGAAGGACAATGATTCGTGCTGCTGCGACGCAGCAGGGAAAATGGCCAAGGCCTGACCGGCCAAGCAAGCAGCGCATCCTTGGCCAAGGAAGGTTCATGAAGATGTGGACAGCCGGTGATGTGAAGCAGAGACGAGATCAAGAGGTCACTAAGAGAGGTCCCTAAACCCTAAACCCTAAACCCTAAACCCTAAACCCTAAACCCTAAACCCTCATCAGCACAAAAAACTCAACTCAAGCCTGGGAGCTCCAAGCCACGGGTAGGCTGCGAATCATTGCAGCTCTTCCCGAGAGAACTCATTCTTCGAATGAGGGGACGGCATCTCCTGTAGCTCTCTACTGCGTGGCGGTAAGGATAGAGGGTAGATGTTGAGCTATTCGTAACTGTTCGTAGTTATTGTTCACCATGTTGCTGAACTTGCAGTGTCAATGGAGGTCCTGGCTTGGCTCGTCTGAGGGTTTCTCGTCGTCCGAGGGCACAAACCCAAGAACGCTGCCAATCTCAGCACCATTCTCCTGAGCTTCCAGTCTTCCAGTCTGTTGCACGGCAACCCATGGTGCCCACCACTCATCAACCAAGCAGCTTTCAGCGTGGTTTGCTTCCGCAAGATTCTTCTCTTGAATCCTCGGGCACCGCAACCGGCATGGTCTTTCGACACGCCGCGCATTGGTCTACATGTCTAAGTGTCTAATTAAGTCTCTAAGCTGGCCTGGTGAAACTGGTGATGTCCTTTGCTCTTTGCATCCCGAGGCACGCAGGCTGTAACCGTCACAGGCTCCACCCAAGCCCTCCAGCCACTCATTGCTACAATTCGCCTCAGGAGCAAGGGAACTCCCACCAGCATGTGGCCTAAATTCAGACATAGATGTGCCCTCGTCTAAAGCTTGTGCTTGCTCCCTATACCAAGCATTGACGAAGGCGGGGGTCCCATCGCCAGTGAAAGAAAGAATCCTTTCGTCAATCCCCATCGCTTTCTAGATGTCAATGCTCAAGACCATTCCTCCAGAACATGGCTTGCCATCTCGAACACACTGTGATGGTAGAAAACGCCCACTTCGGGGAATCCGCTCTTCGGCGTGCAAAGACCCACAAGTGCAGACCATCCGAGGGATGCCTATCGGCTGCTGGGCTGCTAGCGAAGCGATCGCAACTTGGTATCTTGTGTCTGTATTTTATAGCTCCTTCGAGTGGAAGTTGGTTTCGAGTGTTTTTGTTGGTTTTTTTACCAACGGAAAAACTCGATTGCCTCCGTATTTTAATCTGCTTATTTTCCCTGTGAAAACTTTATTGGCATGCTCATAAAATTCGTACTCATTTGCATGGGGTTCGCATGAAGTTGGTTAATTTCCTTGGCTTCCTAACGGAATAATTCTACTGTCTCTGTAATTGGTATTTTCCATAAGAAAATCTCTTGCCTCTCTATTCTAAATAGATGGAATTCGCATTGATTTGGTCAACTTCCTTGACGGGATGTCAATTTACTAACGCAATGCCCACATGCATGTTGGGGGGGGGAAGGGAGGGCAGCCCACACCCCAAACTGCCGTTCTTGTTTTCGTCTCTGCTTCGGTTCTTCCTTTCGTCGTTCACTTATTTTGTTCTTTCTTGCTTGCTTGCTTTCTTGCTTTCTTGCGTTCTTTCTTTCTTTCGCTGTTTCGTGTTTATGTTCTTTCGTTCTTTCGTTCTTTCGTTCTTTCGCTCTTTCGTTCTTTCGTTCTTTCGTTCTTTCGGTCTTTCGTTCTTTCGTTCTTTCGTTCTTTCGTTCTTTCCTTCCCCCGCAAAAAGACTTTAAAAACATCGCTCAAACAACCACGAAAGATGCCTCCGCTCCCTTTCTGGCATGAACTCTGCAGACTGAAAAGCAGCAAAGCTCAGCACGAGCACATTCGCCAAGTTGCAATGATGTAATCCGATGCTTGCGCAATGGTCCAGTTCAAATCTAGGTCTGCTGGGAGAATGTCTCCAGACGGCATTCTCACGAAGACCCTGGTTCGCCTGCGGGCCCAACGCAACAAGGAGCAGCCCGCAGAGGTGTACGAGCAAATCTAGGTGTGCAAAATTGGCCTCGGGTTCCGCCGGCGCGTCACCAAAGTCGGTGGCTCGGATGCGGGCTCTGGCAACACCGGTCTCGCCTAACATCCGAGTCATCGAAGATTCAGCCCAGGAGTCAACAAAGCATTCAGTACAGTACTGGTTCCAAGGAGTCTGTACTGGTTCCACACACAAGGCGCCTTCGTTGGTTCAAGACTTGGAGATGTCGATTTGGGTGTCGGAACATCTAGCTGATCTAGCTCAATCTCCGCATCTCGCCTGTCGAGGCTCTAACCTTCAGTATGTAAACAGTGTGGCTGCACTGCATGCGTCATGCTGAAGAAGATAAAGGCAGTTGTCCTCCGGCAGCGGCAAAACCATGCAAGCATCTGGCGGACAGCTCACGAACATGAACCGCGTCGCGATGAATCAGGAAAGCCTTCTGCACATGAAGAGCGCAGGCCAGGTAACATCTGAGCCGGCGACCAGGTGCGAGCTTTTCGCGACTCAGGAGCGTGTGGTGGCTTTACAGTATTAGAGGCCTTCGAGCTCGAGGGTAGCAGTATAATGTTGTCGGCTTCGTCATGCATCGTATGTCAAAGCCCCCAGTGCCTAAGAGATCTGAAGAGGGGTAGTCATACTCTGTTGCCTGTGACGGTGGGACAGCCAAAAGAAGCTGCGCGAGGAGGATACTGTGTCCAACACAAGAGGCAGCAGCACGCTGCAAAGAAGAATCACATCCTCTGTGTGTTGAGCAGGCGACTGCAGGGCAGCAGTGTAATGCTGAATCGCAGACGTCCAGTCCTGATGAGGACAGAGATCGAACCGCTTAGAAAATCCGCCGAGGCCACGTTTGGGGAGCAGTCTCCATCTCATGCAGCTCGCACCCTCCCCCATTGTGAAGCTTTTGCGCTGTCTCTATAGCCCGTCTATCCCCCCGCCTCGCGCTGCTGGATTTATATCTTCCCCCCCCCCCACCCCAATTTCCCCACCGCATCCGAGCATAGTAGGCTAGCAACGCGCTGCTACGAAGTCACACACTGTCGTTGCACGTTGCTATGCGCACCATGGTTTTTCATGCAACCTTCAACCCGCCACCCCACCCACTCCCCCCTCCGGCTTTCACCTCGGCCCCGCACTTCACCGCTCTCCCCCTTTTAGTAGCCCTATGACATGGACACCACCTCCTACAGCCCACAGCCTTGCGAACTCACGACACTCTCACAAAGCACACGCAGAACTTTGCCGTTGCTTTGTTGTCTTCCTCAACACATGAAGCTTGTGATTATGCCTCCTGTGTGCTCCTTTTGGCAACAGCGACCCCACACTAAGGTGGAGTCGCCAGTCTTATAATCTTTACGTTAGGCACAGGGTCAAAGGCCTTCTGGGCATAAGCAGCGCCACCGCGCTGCTTCGCCTCGAGAGCCTCCTGAAGAATGGATGCGGAAGGCGCACCACACAGAGGCTAAGCTTACCTAGCAACGGAGCGAGGCAGCTCTGGCACAGTTTCTATCCCTCACTTTGCAAGCTTGCATGCGCATGCCGCAAGTCCTCGTTGCCAAGGTTTTCAGGTCCAGCCATCGCATTGGCACGTGAAGATCCAGACCAACCCTGAAAGCTGTAGTTGGGGATCAATGAATCTCAGCTCTGACCTGATCATGACACGCTTTGTACCATGAACATCCATGAACAGTTGAATGTTGACATACCCTTTCGTTGGGTCATTCGCAACCTGCCTTCATCGAATCATGGTACTTAAGTCGCAGGCCTAGCCTGCTGCAGCGGCAATCGGAAGTACGATGGGCAGGAAAAGGGAAGATGCACAGTTGATCATTGCTCCTACAGTAACTGCCATGCCAGGGGCAAAGAGCATCGCTGTCACCAGGTCTTTGCACACAGTGGACCTTCAAGATGTGTTGACACATTTCCAGTGTCTAAATCAGGCCATGGACTCGCCATGATTGGACCACAGATTGTTAACAAGCTGCTGTGCACAGTCGCCACAACAGCTGCAGCAGCAATGGCATGCGAAAGTACGAAATCTTTGCGCCGTGCTTTAAAAGGAATGACCCGAAAACATTTCTTTAAGCGGCCAGTTGCTGCTGAGGCTACCCCAGTTGTTGCTGTCTCATTCGGGCACATCTTGTGCCAGCAGAGGGCAGGCAGCCCTGCAAGGTTTAGGGTTTAGGGTTTAGGGTATAGGGCAGAAGTGAAATCTTCGGAGCCTGCAAGACAGGCCCCGGAGAAGTCTGTTCGAGGCAAATCTGAATCATTCAAGTCATACGTGCCCATTTATTCTTCAGCACTGCTTCATAGTCTGCCTCAGTTTGGAAGATGTACGATGTGTTTTTGGCGCAATCATGCCTTTTGAGCAGCAGCTGCTCAAGAGAAGCAATATGTAACACGATGGGCCCTTTGTCCCAACAGCTTCAGCTTCAGCTAGCCCAGCACAGTTCGATTGATGTCTCCTTCATGTTCCAGCCTCAGCCAGAGTAAAAGGCAAGCAGAGCTACTTCCACCTCTCCGAGATCTGCCAGCAAACTTGAACGAACTGCCCCGAAAACTCACAACGCGAGAGCGAGCGCGCAAACAGGCGGGGATGTCTCGCTTAGAAGTTGTAAAGTCAGGCTTTCGAGTGAGTATGATCGTATGTTATAGGACATGTATTGCTTATGGCTTTATGGCTCTCCTTGGCTCCATGGAGGATGTGCACGCGCAGAAACCGCTTGTACTCAGATATCCGAAAGATTCCGAAAGCATCTTCAGCCTCTTAGGGCCCGGCTCCCATCCACATCACCGCCACCAGAGCCTGAGCCTGAGCGCGCCACCACCATCACGTGCGCAGGCCTCAACACTCCAAGAGGAACCAAGCAGGCTAGTTAAGCCGTTAAGAGGACACTGAAGACGATGCAAAATGAGCCACATGTGTTCTCCTGTGCTAATGGGCATGAAAAGGCCCGTGGGACTCTCACAGATATCGTGTCATGGCCACAAAAGCGCCTTTCGCCTGGCTGCCAGCGAAACAGCGTGCTTAGCTGGACCTGCTCGACGCTTAAACATACGTAGCAGCGTAGTGCGGGGCAGTACAGTGCAGTCCCACACAAGCAACTCGCGTTGTCTTGCATCTTTAGCAGGCATGGAGCGTTGCATGGCAAAAGTCAGAGCCCCCAAGCCTGCGCGCGCTGCCGCACGTCATCTGCGAGTGCTGCATCGCGCGGTTCGACACCGAAGAGGCCGGGGCCCGTTTCGGAAAATGCAACCACCTCAGAGATCTCAGAATCATTGTCCGTGACACGGGGGGGCTGATCAGAGGGTTGGGAGTGCTGGACCAAGCTCTCCCAGCTAAGGGTCCTGGCGAGTTGATCCGATGAATCTTCTGCCGCGATCTTTAAGGAGCCCTGGAAAGCACTCTGATAGTCTCTGATCACTTTCTTGGGGCTTGAGGGCACAAAACCCCGGTGCAGTTGCAAGGGGACGCGGAGGTCAAGAGGGTGGGGATATATATATATATATGTATGTATCCTAAATAGCTCTCCCTCTCTCCCCATCTATCTCACTCGCTCACCCGCTCACTCACTCACTCAGCAAGCAGGGTGGCCTCAAAGCGCCAAGCGAAGAAGCTATGTCCGCAACTCAACTGGCACAGAGGTCACCAGGTTCCAAAGACAAGGAAAGAAGAGCAGCCGCAGACGTGTTGCACCGAGTTCCGGCTGGAACAAACGCAAACATGTCCACCCCCGGTGGCTTTTACATGCTCAGCATCTTGAGTGTGAGCACAAACTGAAACTTGGGAGTCTCATAAGGACCTTAGTGACTTAGGGGTTATTGTTTAAGGGCTACTTAGGTATATAGGGACTATATAAGGTACATATAATGGGGGACTTGCCATTCGGCAACACTGCATGTCACTGCATTCTTCCGCACTCAGCCGTCGAGTCAGCTCCCGGTCCAGGTCTGGACCTGGATTCTCACTTTGCCGGCAGCGGCGCTCGTACTTACCACGATTTGAAAAAGGCAGGTACAAGAGCAGGTTCTGAATTCTTGGAACTCCTGGTAAACTGCGTGAATCTTAGAAACTCGCAGCAGCGATGCAGATGCACCAGGCACTTGGTGCCGGGTATTCGTGTCCCACCGCTCCCTTGGAGGTGCGTTATGGACATTTTTTTTATGTGCCCAGCGCCCTGGCTCGTACAAGTCAGGGAGCAACAGAGCGCTGCGGGCTATAAACCATTTACATCTCCTGCCATGTGTGGCTGAAGGTATGCGGTAGCTGTAGCGCCAAGAGGCATTCGTAATGTACAGAGGTACAACATGTACCTGCGATCACGCCGCGGGGGCGCCCTTCATCTCGGCTCTGAGCTGCTGGACCACCTCATCAGAGACCTGATAGCAGCTCATCACCCACACACAAACACAACCACAAACACAAACGCAAACACAGAGAAACACACAGAGACACACACAGAGACACAGAGAGACACAGACACACACACACACACACACACAGAGGGACACAGAGACACACAAAGAGACACACAGACACACACACACACACACACACACTGACTGACTGACTGACTGACACACACACACACACACACACACTGTGACACACACACACACACACACAGACACTGACACACTGACACTGACACACACTGACACTCACGCACGCACTAACACACGCACTGACACACTGACACACGCACTGACACATGCCCTGAACTGACACACACTGACACGCACCCACGCACGCACGCCCGCATGCCCGCATGCCCGCATGCCCGCACAGGCGCACGCACAAGAAATTGAGGCACTCAGCAACAGGGAAGCCATGATGGCATGCCACAATCACACAATCACCATTGGCCTTCAGGATTTCCAGCGACGAAAGCGCTGTAAGCACTTCCAGCGGGGAGAGCACGACCTCACGATGAGGCAAAGGAGCTGAAATCAACGGTGCTTCTTTCCCACCTGGAGCTCCAAGTACTCCCGAGCTGCATCTTCCAGCACGATGTGTAAATCCTGCCAAGGGTGTCTTGCATGTCCCGGCACTTTGAGGAATTCTGAAGCTGAATGACATCTTGGGAGCAATCTCTGCTCTAGATACCTGCATATGTGTCGTTAAGGTTATGCAAGTGTAGACATTCCCCTAGAGATTCGGGCTTACTTAGTTTTGGCTCAGGCTCGAGTTCGGCAAGTTAATTGAGGCTGGGGCTGTCCTCAGGGATTTATTCAGGCTTGGGGTTTAGTTAACCCTAGCCACAGCACTGTACCTTTAGGAGCTTTCATATGAGTCTGGCGGAGTCTGTCTGGCAGTCCTTGAGCTCTGAGAAATGTCGGCTTTCCTTCACCTCAGCTGCGGCCTTGATGAGCATGTCTTTGCTGAAGGTCTCAAGGTCCTCCTGGGACATGGACAGGGTTCCACAAGGTTCCCACATTCAGCAGGTCACACCTCGAGGAAGATCTCCATGGACACGGCACGCGTGAGGGCCGTCAGAATTGCGTGCCAGCTCAGCTGGTTCCCCATGAGAGCTTGTGCCTCGCCATACACAGACTGCACTGCGTTCGCACAACCTGCCTCAGAATACCGAATCAGCCCAAGTGCTGGCAGGGCTTGGAGAGAAGCTACTGTGCTGGGGCTACATGCGGGCAACGAATTGGCACTACTGAGCTACTGCTTCAGCAGCACTTTCGCAGGGGCAGCAGCCACATGGTTTCCCTTCGCCACGACTGCACTTGCAGCTTGACATGGCTTGAAGTCAGCTTGACTCAGCACAAGGCCGCTTCGCCATCTACGTTATCATGTGCCCACATGTGTCCGTTTAGCTTCAAGTTCGCCGAGGCGCCCTATCCTGCCACACCCAGAGTGTTCTAACAGTCGTCCCTGCGGTTTAGGGTTTAGGGGTGTACGTAGGGTTTAGGGTTTAGGGTTTAGGGTTTAGGGTTTAGGGTTTAGGGTTTAGGGTTTAGGGTTTAGGGTTTAGGGTTTAGGGTTTAGGGTTTAGGGTAGCTATGTAGCTCAGCGGCTTTCAGGAGACCCAGCACCTTCAGCTCCTGCATGGCGCATGTTGCAAGGTGACAGAATGTGGCAGGCATATGCAGGTGCTGCGTATTGTGGAGTGCAGGACAACAACCTGACAGCAGTTGGGGCTAGCAAAACTGGGAAAGCCGAAGAAGCATAGCAGGGTGGAGAAGGCGCCCGGATGGCGCAGACTTGATTCGGATTCCGGGGAAAAGAGAGACCTACATGACCCCAAAGCTGGCAAAGAGGATGCCAACGAGTCTCCTTCGGCAGCGCCTCCATGGAGTCACGGAAGTGAGTGTCATCCTGAACAGATGGACAGCTTGACTTTTTGCTGACCATATTGGACTGTGTCGAAACTGCTTGGGAACTCTCACGCTCTCAAGGCCTCCCAACCCTAGCTATGGGCCACAACACGCGAAAACTGCTTGCAGTAGACTTCCCATAGGATCTTGTGCATTCAACGCCGGCGCGGGCGTCCTATGCCGCTCTGATATGATGTTCAAAAACACACTTAGCTGCTTCTCCCGTATAGGACCCATACTAGGGTGTCAGCAGCTGCTTACTAACTACCGGTACAAGTATGCTGCCTTGACGTGCCGCCACGCAGGGATGATTCCAGTTCTGTCCTTCCAGGGACAGAGGAAGATCGGCGACGTGTGATCTTTGGGGCCGGTGCACCAAAGCGCCCGCTTTTGATTGGGGAAGCTTGGAAGGTGGACGTGTATATCGACATACGTATATATATGTATGTATGTAGAATACATGCAAGTGTTTATGACTTTTCATTTATTACGTGTAAAAGGTAACCACACGCAACAGGGACCACCACAGCATCTCTTTCTGAAATTATTTGGGCCGTGCTGCCCAGAGAAAAAACGCAAGCCAGATGAGACCCTCAAAGAGCCTGCACTGGGGTAGCAACGGAGCTGTGGCGGGTATGCAACAGCGGCTGGCCAGTGATGGCGACGAAAGCACTAACAGAAGCAGATACATACCTAGCAGCCTGTCCAGCTCGTACAGAAGTATGTCCTTGGGCCAAGGACACGAGAAAATAGCGCAAGTCAAGCCGCAAGCAGTAGAGCTGTTTGAAAACAAAGCGGCCCAAAGATGGAAGGACACGATATGCTGGCGTTAAAGACAGATGATGGATTCGGGGTGTTCAAGTGTTGCAAGATGCTGGCTTCTGATGCGCAGTCCAGCTCCCTTGCTGCATGCCAAGAGGCTTTGCCACCTTCAACACCTTCACCACCGAAAACGGTTCTGTCCACTTGTGCGAACCAGTTCGGGACCTGAGGGAGCTCGTAGGAAGCTATTTGAAGCAACACTGGCAGGTTCATGGACGAAGTATGAAGACTCGATCCCTCGATGTCTCGGAAGAAGAGACCTACGGCAATTCATCTTCTGCGCGCCTGTGTCAGGCCATCGTTGACGGCAGGGACACACAGCACTATCTGCCCCAAGGACTCCTCGCAGGAAAGCAGCACGACTCAAACCACCGAGTGCAACAGGCCCGAGTGGTCATCCACTTCACCGAAGAACTCCAGCCACCAAAAGCTCCAAGAACTTTGCAGCCCAACATGAACCAGCGATGGTCTCCTGAATCTGGGTCCGCACGCTTCGCCTGGGAGACCGGTGCGTGGGTCCGCATAACCGGGGTGCGGGGGGGTCCAGTGCACACTTTGCAGGCCTCATCACGCCCCAGGCACCTGCCCTTTTGCAGCGTTGGAAATTGTCCCACATTGCCCTTTTCCGCGTGTTTGGCGCTTCCCGCTCTACGCTTCTTTTCGGGTTTCGGATGGTTTCGGGCTTCGGTGAGGATGAAAAAGTGTGGTCTTCCTTCCAGGTGTCGGAGAAATGACGAAAGCATTGCGCACTCGTCCACGAGGCATCCGTGAAGCACAATCGTTCGCACGCGAGTGCCGCGTGGCGCATGTAGTTGCGGAAGCCTGCATTTGGCGTCCTTGGACGCCGCGTTCGCATGCGTTCGCGAGCGTCGCGCGGTGGCTGAAGTTGCGAAAGCAAGCGTCCTGGCATCGTTTCGGGGTTCGTGCGTGTCCGTAAGTGTTCACAAGTTCCGCAAACACAACTTGAATTCATGCGATCGCCTCACGGGCCAAGAAAACCCCCATGAAAAGCAGCGAATGATTGCTAGTAATGCATTACAATCCAGATGTTGCACGTGAATGAGGCGGAATATGTTCACTTAACATGCGTGCATCGGTGATCGACTTTGCGCACGCTCTTATTGTTCCCTAATTCCTGGGTTCGCACAATGAATTTGTGCAATTGCATGACGTTACAGAAGCTCCTATACAAATATTATATCCTGAAGCACATCTTCGTACTTGGTGCCTTTCTGGCTCTCTTATTCATATTCTATGATTTATCCAAATTTAATGGGCATAGTATTCGTATGGTAAAGATAGAATAACAGCGAAGTGGCCAGAATGCTTCAGATTGTTTAGGTTCGTGGCCTCTATCAGGCTGTGTCTTGGGCTTCCCACCGAACAACCTTCTAGGCTTTTGGTTGACAAGCCAACACTCCTTTCAGGGATTGTCAGGCCAGTCGCCCCCTTTTAGGCACGTGCAACTCATCCCTAGGCAAGCATGCTTCGGTCCGACTTACCTCCTAGTTCCAGTAAGCAGTGTTTCCGCCGTGAGTGGACACCGCAGCATCGAGGCCTTGTGCGAGGTCGGACCTCAGCTAGATGCCGAGCCATCTCTCGTTATGAGTCCGGCGATGCAGATGAACACATGAAAGATTGGCAGCATGGCATACCACATCTGACACCAATACATTCCCCACACGCTGGGGCTGTCGAGGCACAGCAGACAAGCGGGAGGGAGCAGATTTCTTTCTCGGTGACCGCGATGAGGCGGACATGGACTCAAATCCTGCAAGGAAGCCCAGGAAGCCAATCCAAGCCCCAAATGACCAAGGCATTCAAATGGAAAGATGCGCAAAATTATGTACCAGGCAAGGCTCCCAACGGTCGCAACCCATGCGCCTTGGAAACTCTGAGATGGCTGAAACCCAGGGAAGAGTGGTACAAAGTGCCACTGAGCCACCTTGGCGAAGGTTCGAGCGAGCAGCTGCATGTCGATGAGGCTGGGCCTCACTGAAGCTGCTCTCAGCCAGCCAACAATCACATCCATAACCCCAGAATTCTACTTACGTCCTGCCCCTTCCGGCCTCACCTCAGACATTCTAAGAACAAGCACTGGGCCAATACTGGAATCTATGACCATCTGGTTTTCCCATTTTTCTCTGGGTCGACACATGCGTCAACCATTGCAGCATGTTGCGGGGCGGCCCAATGGCTTGTGGCAGACTGCATGATCCGCCGCACCTGCCGAAGAGTATATACCCATTGGTCTCATCCTACGACTTCAGGTTCAATGATTCAACCACCAGATTCATGGCCTGCATCTCTGCCGACACCTCGCTGAGCTTCGGAGCGTAGAGTTGGCGCGTGGTTTGGGCGACCTGTGATTGTAAGCTTGAAGACGTGAGAAAGCCATCCAAATGTAAGTTCGTCATGCAGGCAGGGTATTGCAAGATCGGAGTAGGAGGAATCGAGATGACTATGACAATTGCAAGATTGCTCTTTGCAGCACAAGACCAAGTGCCTTTGTCTGACATGCTTAGGCTAGGACTGGCTTTCCAAGGGTGAGCTGATACACATGCTGCCAAGTCTGAGATTCCGGCAACTTGGATGGTGTTGGACAGAGCAGAGAAGGTCTTGTCGACGCCTGTGGCCTGCCAACATAGTCAGAAATCCCATTCGCATCTTCGGATCGGCTCGCCCCCAGGTCCCCTGGGACACTAAACAGATAGCCTTCTGGTTCATCTGCTCGATGTCGAAGATGCACTGGATTGATTCCTCATACACCGCATGAACAAGTCGGAAGAATGCAGGTGAACCAGCCAAACTTTGGATCAAGACACCACGAGCGTGTGGATCAAATCTGGCAGCTTGTTGTTCGGCACACCAGATCGCTGCAGGACTCCAGACTGCCACCTCAGAGCAGATCGAACAGCAGCAGCATCCTACAAGAAAGAGAACGAGGGACTTCAACGAATGAACTTAGGGCCCTTGTGTCATACAAGGTATCTGCTCCGATTCATCTCACGTCGAAGCTAGGCCAGCGAAGAGCCTTCTGTTGATTCTCAAGCTCAGCGCGGCGCGAAACAAACTCTTCCAATGAGACGAACTCCTTGACCTCGAAGTCCTGAGATTGGCAATTGGTAGTAGCGACAGCATACGAAAGCTGACATCCGGCAGCACATCACTGAGCTTGTAGCCACCACAAGGAGATCGCCCTTGGCCTGTAGCGGATTTCCCAGCAACAGCTTCAGAGCCAAGGCCCATCCCGGAAGCAGGAAGAACGGAGGAAGATTTCCCGCACTCCAACTAAACGTTAAGGACGGTTGCAACCAAGGCACCAGAGGATGGAGTCCTTGGCACCGATACATAGGGTTTAGGGTTTAGGGTTTAGGGTTTAGGGTTTAGGGTTTAGGGTTTAGGGTTTCGGGTTTAGGGTTTAGGGTTTCGGGTTTAGGGTTTAGGGTTTAGGGTTTAGGGTTTAGGGTTTAGGGTTTAGGGTTTAGGGTTTAGGGTTTGGGGTTTAGGGTTTAGGGTTTAGGGTTTAGGGTTTAGGGTTTAGGGTTTAGGGTTTAGGGTTTGTTTAGGGTTTAGGGTTTAGGGTTTAGGGTTTAATATGAGTATACCAGCTTTTTCACTCAACAAGTAGTCGGCTTCGCTGGTGGCGCTTCATGCAGCCACAGGCACGCAGTGAGTTCTGCAGAATCTGCGACAGCTCGTTAAACTCTTCCCTGCCATGGACACACCGGGGTGGCAATCGGGATGACTTCGGAACACCTACTTGGGGTTTCCGATATTAGAGGGTACCTTCTTGGGGTCCTTATTATAAGGGACTCTTCCTCTTTGGGGATCCCCGACTTTCGTAAACTCCCGCTTTTAGCTTGCAGTCCTTGTTATATGGCCCGAGCCATCTTTGTCCCAGATCTCGAAGAGAGGCTTCACCTGGTCCTTCAAGTCGAAATCTGTAATCCATCCATCGTCTCCAACGGTATACTGGGCAACCCTCGGCATCGAGTTGGATCCAAACGCATCAAGCATGCGCAGACGTCTTCATGTGCCGCTCCCTCTCACCTACCATTCTCTGCGGGCAGCCGGTTCGTAAGCCAGCCCACAAACTCCCGATAGTCGATGACCTGGGAGGGGGACGTTTGCAGCCCCTGCATATTCCTACACGCCCTCGGCAGGTCCAGGGCCGCAGAGGTTTGTTGGGAGACGGGCAACGCGGTGGAGGTTAGGGCGAAGGCGGCGAAGGAAGGACGGAAAAAGGAATTATTGAAATCGTGCAATCGCAACACGACGTACTGGCAGAAACCGCCACGTTTTCAGACACCAATGTTAAGCTATCGTTGTGTTTGTTTAATGTTGAGAAGCCTGCAGCAGGGCCGACAGGCCTTTAGCATCTGCAATAATAACTTTTGGCTGTGGGGCCATGGCATGGGATCGGCAATTTGGAATAGGAGCTGGCTTGCATGCATTTTGAGACTTGAGGCTTTAAGATGCTTTGTAGTGAGGTGTTTTGCTCCCGAGATTGCGCAGTTTTCAAAAAACAAGTTCATGATTTTGAGGTGAATCTCTCTTCCCTCTTGATCCCTCCTGTCTGCTTTCGCCTGTATGCCAAGATCGACTCAGGGCTGTCGAGGCCTCTTAGCGACCGAAACCACGTCCATTGCAAGATGCTGCCGCATGCAGGAGTTGACCGTGACTTGTACACGCAATACCCGCCCGCAATTCCCAAATGAGTTCGATCCGACCAGCTGCTATTGACATGACTGAGTAGCAAGCAGTGAATGCCAGGAGCACATACGCGCAGCAGTACAGGTGCCATCACCACAAATTAACAAGCATGCAGTTTCGGCAACCCTTTTGACAGGACAAGCTACGCCATCGAGGTTGCTATCAATGCAGCCCAATAGTACGTCGATCCTTCCATGGCAGCAAGCAATGGGAATGTGTAGGCATCACAATGTCTAGCAATATAGGAAAGCTCGCAGTGGTGCATCGCATAGCATCACCAAACTTGATAGGTCTTCAGAAGAGGCAGGCTTGTCGAGCTTGTGCCATGCTGCCAAGATTGTAGCTCTTCCGCAGTCTGGATGGAGAGCATTCAGTTTGGGATGCATACAGAAGCACATCACAACTGTCGCCAGCTGCAATGATCTGCAGCTGCAGTCAAGTGTCTGATCCTGGCTGAGGCTCGGAGACACCTGGGCACGTCTATCGGGCTCAATTGTCGCTACAGGTGAACCTTTCGCATCGGGTGCCTTGTACATGATGCTGGCAAGCTCATCGCGATCGATAAACCCACTGTGGTCCTGAAAATGAACAAGGCAGGACAAAGCGGAAAAAGGCTGGCAGAGTAAGCATGTCTGCAACGCTCGTGCTGCTTTGGCAGGCTCCGGCTGCTTCATTGGCCCACTTGACATGAGTCTGCATATGTTGCATCGACATTGGGACACTGTGCAAGATTGGGCGTCAGTCCTGATCCCACCTCTTGAAAATGTCCAAGATGACCTCAGTCTTACGTAGCCAACATCGCCTGATAGGTGAATCCGTCGGACCAGGCACCGCAGCACCGGTACACCTTAAACCCTAAACGCTAAACCCTAAATCCTAAACCCTAAACCGCTGCTGGATCAAGCAAAGCTTCATTCTCATTCCCTTGCGCGAAGGCCGTAGTGGAACTTAGCACCTCTTCAATCGACATCGGCTCCAGCAACCGCCTCGGCAGCCTCAGTAGCCTCAGCTGGAACCCCGAAAACGGTCCCTTGAGCTGGGATCTCGAGGAGGATTATAGAACATGACTGGTGATATCTCTAGTCATGATAGTATAAACCGTAGTAATAATATGAAGAATGGTTGCATTGATATTCGTCATATTAACAATGGTACTCAAGCATATTAAGGAGAAGGCATATTCAGAAAAAATCGTCATACTCATAGAACAAATACTATTTGAAAAACACGCATACTAATGATATTCATGCTACAATAATACTAAACAAACTAGTAGGATCAGTAATACTAAAAGTATTAACAATCCTAATAATACTATTAATCCGATTAATATTCGGTATACCGAAAATACTAGTAATGCTTTTTCACACTAACAAGATTCATAAAAATTTTAACTACTCGAGTTATGCTAAAATATGACTTACAAATACGAAAAGAGTATTGCCAAGAATATGAAGAGAATATGAATGAGCCTTGCAGCCAGAAGGCCACTGCCGGGTCTTTGCTTCGCAAAGCACAGCAGGGCTGCGAGTCCACGAGGTCTGACACTAAACAAGCCCAGAAACCTCGGGTCACTAGCATTATTCGTATGATTCGTACTTATTAACATGTTAATATGTTTGTAGATGTTTGAAAACTTTAAAACTTTTGGCTGCAGTGGCATGCTGCTTGGTACTGTGGCGCTGGGTTTCGCTGGCTTTGTCGGCGTTTCGTTGAAGCACGACGACAATACTGGCGTTGAAGACGGCCCTATTTCAGCTGTTGATGCTTTCAGCTGGGCTGATGATTGCGCGCTTGAACCCATAAGGCTGCAAGCTTGTCGAACATCCGTCAAACCGGATACAACGGGCTTGGACACCACGTGGTTCCTGTGCTGCCAAAGGCAGCCTCTCATATCCTCTCTTGTATTCTTGTGCAAGTGTCTCTTGGCCCTTTGCTGCGTGAGATGAACCAAGAAGTGACGAGTCTGGAGGCAGTACACGACCGCTGCCCGCCTCTCGTCGGCGCCTTCTTGGCGGACGTTCAGGGCCACGAGCACCTCAGAGTCGGGACGCATTATGCGGACATCTGTATAACTCTACTAACCGATAGTCGAACTAACCCTGATGTCGCTTCATTCCGCCTCCTGACCCGTGCACTCTTGTATTGTGCTGCAAGGAATCGCGCAGTTCCAGTCGAACAACTTTGCGAGCCATGACGAAACCAGGTCGCTCACCCCCCCTGAGGGTCGCACTTGGATCCATTTCTCTGCCAGCTTCGGCTGAGTCACGGTGTCCGCACGCATTGCAGACAACACAAAGGAGCTCCTGCACAGATGCAAGTTCAGTGAAGAGAAATGCACGGTGCATGATTGTCTGCTAGCTGCTAGTTCACATCTACTGCTAGAAGATTGAGCGCAACAAACTGTGAGGCTTCTGAAGACTCAGGATTGTCAACAGCAAAAAAAGAGGCGCCCGGTTTGCTCGGAATAGGGCTCCCTATGAGAGCCTAACAAGCAGCCGATAAGGGGTTTAGGAGGCGTTATGGCACTACATCGCAGGTACACGTATAGCACAGCAAACGAAACGTAGTGCGACCCTGGCAGATTTGATGTAGAACATGTTCTCGAGTCTCAGAGGGGCAACCCCTCAAAAACGACTGAACCGACAGCACCACACTTCATCGTTTCAATTGCCTCGTGCTCCTGGGCACGGAACCTGCTCAAAGCCGATGCAGTGCTGGACAATCCAGCCTCCACATCGGCTGAAGTCGAGAAGTTCGTGCCCCCTCGGAAGCCACAGATCCCACTCACAGTGAATGCGCCGAGGAGGAGGTTGCTTTCAGCCTCGAGCGTCAGTCAGCAAGGTTCCATGGATGATGCACTAGATCAGCTAGAGTCCAGCCAATGATTTGAGCTGCGGGTGGGCGGTGAAAAAGTGGCTGCAAGCCACCGACACGCACATCATTCGCCACAAATGAAGCAACGCACTCAGGAATCCCATGGCAGCAACATCATGAGTTTTCACGACGTTCACCCTGCGGCTTGTGTGTAGGGGGGGGGGGGGGGGGGGGTGGGGGTGGGGGGTGGGGGGGGGGTGGGGGGGGTGGGGGGGGGGGGGGTGGGGGGGTGGGGGGGGGTGGGGGGGGGTGGGGGGGGGGTGGGGGGGGGTGGGGGGGGGGGGGGGTGGGGGTGGGGGGGGGGTGACACTTAACGTCTCATCTTACGGGGTGGGGGGGGGGGCGGGGGCGGCACCCTGTTCAGGAGACGAACCCATGGGGCAACTCGAAAGACTCTTAAGATCAATTTTGGATGCTCTTCAATGAGTAGAAAGATGGTGCGAAGCCCAACCCTCTGTGGGAGCTTAGCCTTCCTCGTTGGAACCCAGTTGCGGAATGCTCTGGGAACTGGGACTAAGCCTTCCATGGAAGGGAAGCTCATGTTCTTTGCTGGCAGTGCCGACAGCTTGATTTTTCGGATGTCTAAGCGTTTAAAGGTGCCAGCTGGTTAGAGTGCGACAGGGTGGCCCTTTAAGCTTTGGCACTGTGACGCTGGCGATTAACTATGGGCCGATCATGGGAGGCGTCTACAAAAATTTGTGCGAGGTCCAGCGGACAGCTGCACTCGGCACTTCCCGATTCATGGCTCACACACACACACACTCAATTTTTGCAGGGCTCGAGATTTTCGATGCATTCCGGTCAAAAGCCTCGGGGGCGCAGGTGGGAGCCATCAGTTCGACATGGACTTGAAGATGTTGGCCCCATACCGCCCCATGGCCCATGTCCAGCCTGCCAGTGCAGAGCTGAGCTGAGCGGCTGCGCCTGCGAAACGTTGCGAAACTTAAGCCTACCGATTGGTGTAGAAAAGATTAGAAAAGATTAGGAAAGACTAGAGAGTGCAAGAAGGACAGGGCCTCCTCAATACTCCCAAAAGAGCTTTTCAACCGCGCACGTCGATTGGGATGGAGGCTCCTGGGTGGAGGCGGCGCAGCCTTGCCAGCGTTGGATTCCTGATCTACATATATCTAACATCGCACACGCGGCCTCGTCCCCCTCTTCTGGAGCAGCAGGCCTGAAAAAAGAACACTTCCAGACGAAACATGCCGAATACTTCCATGCACATAGCCTTTTACTGCATGTCACAGAGTGACAAGCGTTTCAAACACTTGTTCGGGTTGGGAACCATCAGAATGATGCCAGATGCAGATGGCCTTGCAGCCGGCGGAGCAGGTAGTGCGAGAAGGGGTGCAGGTGCAGGTAGCGCAAGTCGCGGAGCGACCCTGGCCCTCGCAAGAGAAAAACACAAAGGAGCACGAAACAAACTCGTGCAGGCCTTATGAGGAGGCACATGCCGCGATTGAAAGAAGCATCACCCGTTGAGAACTGTCGGGATATCTGGAATTGCATGGACAGCTGATGCAGAGCCCACCTAGCCAAGCTCAATTTTTGC